AAAAAAAAAGGGAAATTGTGTCCTTTGCAGCAACATGAATGGAGCTGCAGGCTGTATTCTTAAGCAAATTAACAGAGGAAGAGAAAAGCAAATACTGCATGTTCTCACTTATAAGTGGGAGCTAATCATTGAGTACCCATTGGCTTAAATATGGGAACAATAGACACTGTGGACTACACAGTGGGGAGAAAGCTAGGTTTAAAAACTACCAATGGGGTACTGTCCTCACTCCCAGCACGAACGGGATCTGCACTCCAAACCTCAGCATCACACAATATTCCCATGTAACAAATCTGTACATGTACCCTTATATCTAAAATGAAAGTTGGGGAAAAAAGGAAATAGACATTTAAAATGTTTCTACACTGGTCCAGTTCTGTTCAACATGTGTCATTGTGCTTGAGTCTGACAGTCAAAGCGAATAAGACACCATTCTTACCCTTGAAGAACTTACACTCTAGGCTCTTCATTCCATTTTTATGTCAAGAATATGGAGAACAAAGGTTACTATAAGCATAAGTTGTTTGTTTTATGTATGTCCTCAATGCATTTTTTTTTTTTTTGACTACATGTCTTATTGCCCAACCATGTTCTCACTTGAAGCAGAATTGTTCTCAGCAAGCTGGTTAGAATATATATACACTTCTGAATAGTTAGCCAGAAAGCTGTAGTGATTCTTTAGTGCCTAAGCCTCTACATACCATTTGTCTTTCAGAGTTTGCTACTTTTTTGCCAAATTAGGGCTTACTTGCTTTCCAGTGCACGTGTAGAAAACAATTTATAATGAAGAGAGTTGATGTATTGTCAGGTAAGGGACCCCAGCCTCAAATCCAGGGACGTTGTCCATCTTCCCAGGCATTCTTTGTAAATAATTAATTACTTCAGATCTTGAAAACTCAATTCTTCATGTCTCCTCCAGTTTTAATTACTGATCTTCTAGATTCTACTGAGTTTTGCTATGACTGGCTTCCATAATCAATTTGATAAGTAATTTATATGTTCTTAAAACATAAGTATTTTGTGACCAAATTATAATGTATTATTGACACTGTTAAATTCAGTCCTACAGTGATTAAAAAAAAAAAAAGTTTTTTAAAATTCTCCCTTAAAAAATGGATATTCTGAGTTAAAATATATGTAAATCTAGGTTTCAGAGCAGTTAGAGAAATAATTTGCTAGTCCTCACAATTTAGTATGAACTTCCCAAGCAGACTTCACAGCAGACTCTTAGGAGGATTCAGAAAAGCTATGTGTGAAATTTTCTCTAATCTTTTAGTAGGAACACTAATATTTAAGGTGCTATCTGTGCAATTGTAATAGTACATCAAAAGGAGTCTTACTCTGAAAGTCAGTACCTGATTTCTTCTGAATAAGAATAACTTCATAATATATCATTTATTGCAGTTTTGTGTGTCTTAAAAGTCTTAGTTTCTCATTGTTTACTTAAAAGAGTACCTGACAATTCCAGTTATAGCACAGCTTTCCTATCCATCCATATTTGCTAAACACAATTTTTACATTTTATGTGAACCATGTTTTAGGAGATAGTATTCCCTTTTAATGACACAAAGAGCTGTATTTAAAACTAAGGTAATAAATGAGTTGATCCAAAATACTGAAGTATAAATGGTATAAGACAAAAAGTTTAAGCCATCCAAATACATCTGTATTTTGCTTAGTTTTAAGGTAAATATTTAATTATTATTTACGGCATATAGTGTTTGTCCAAATAATACGGTATAACGAATTATTTTATAATACAAATATTGGTAGGAGATAGAAAATACCTTAATTTCCTAGTGCCTCTGTATCAAATTATGACAAATTTAGTGGCATAAAACAACACAAATGTATTGTCGTACAGTGCTGAAGGTTAGAAGTCCTAACGGTAACAGGGCTGTATTATTTCTGTAGGCTTTCAGTGGGGCTATATTCTCTTTGTAGTCTCTAGGGGAGAAATTTTCCTGCCTTTTCAGCTTCTATAGGCCACCTGCATTCCCTGACTCATGGTGTCTTTCTCCATCTTCAAGGCAAGCAGCATAGCATCTTCTCTTCCCTCTCACTCTTCCCCCTCCACCTCCCCCATTTCCCACACTTATGTTTTTGTTTGTTTGTTTTCTCTGCATCTCCTTCTCTTTGACCTTTCTGCTACCCTCTTGTAAGGAAGATTGTGATTACATTTGACTTACCTGGATAATCCAGGATAATAACCCCATCTTAAAAATTCTTAATTACATCAGCAAAGTCCTTTCTGCCATGTGAAATAATGTATTCATAGGCTCTGGGGATTAGGACGTGGACGTCTTCCAGGAGCTATTCAGCCTAGCACACGGTGTGTAATTAATCACTACTTAGGTTCTAAAAGTAGAGGTTATTGTAATCATGCTTTGTGTTTGTGTATCATGCTACTAGAGCTACAAATGGTTTTCCCTTTCTCAATCAAATAATATGTTTTCCACTTATTAGCCCATTTTAGGGGTATTGTATTCCTAAACGACTCCCTGTAGTTTTTATTACATGGATTTTTTAATGTCTTAAGTTTAATATCTACCATGTATCTGGGGCTTTGGGTTTCTGGGGAAAAAAAAGTAAAACAGTGAATGAGCTTTTTAAAAATTTTGATACTCTGGCTCCTGCTATTGCTATGAGTAATAAACTGCCGTTTGTCTCTGACCCAGGAGCCTTGTGTCTTCTACCAACATCTGTCATACAGTATGTATTTGACTAACTTGTTAGCTTTCAAATCTTGACATTGGGTATTGCTAATAATTACTCCAACAAATTAACAGCCTTAGTGGCAAACGTATTTCTTTAAATATACCCAACCTGAGTAAATTCATATCAACTTCACTTTCTGTATGTCTTTTAAATATATTTTGTTTATTTTGAACCTTCACATCATTCTCCCTGAAATATTTCTGAAAGACCACAAAAGTTGCCAAAATTACTCGCTTGGGTTGCTCAGTGCCTCGCATTTATTAAAAAACATATGTATATATTCCCTTCTGCTGAAAGGGTTATAATAACACTTAGCTCATATAAATCATGCTTCATTTTAAAACCTGTTTTTCTCATACCTAGAAGATTCTGATGGTCTTGGTTAAAGGATCATATGACATCACCACAAACCGTGAAATATAAACTCGTTTTTTGTTAGTTTTTCGTGAATGCTTTTAAACATGGTAGAGATTTTTTAAATTTATCATAGAGGCAGTAGACCAGAAAGATGATGATCTAATAAAGATACTAGTTAAGATCAGTCTTTCTACCACCTAGTTATAGGACCTTGGACAAATCACATGATTTGAGTCTTACTTTTCACTTGTTAAATGAGGAATTGACAGAGGTAATTTCGGTTACTTTTAGTTGAGTAATTTAATTCACTTACTTTCATTATTTTTATTTACCAATGCAGTTGTTTTAAGGCTAATAACCACTTTAAATGCTTTTCGTAAATTTTGGTACGTAGTATTTTCTTGTTGTTACAAATTCTGACGTATCTGTTTATATTTCCCCTTTCTCAAGACTTGTTTAGTTGAGGTGGTTTTATTTATTTATTGTTTTAATTCCAGATGGAAAGGCCTTTTAAAATTTTTCCTTTGTTGATTAGTTGATTTTCTTTCGTTTCTACTTTTTCATTGTGATCAGATAATGTTGCTTATAGTATTTTACTTGATGGAGCTTACTGTTGCTATACTTTCTTTGACTTAATGATAATTTTTATCAATATTCCATGTGTACTTGAGAAGAAGATACAATTGTTTTTAAGATCTTGTAATTTTATTTCCCTATTTTCTTTCTTGACGGGAAGTTGTGTGTCAGAGTCTTGAGCTAATAAATAGTATTTCTATTTCCTTTATTTCGTGAAGTTTCTGCTTTATGTAATAGTTGTGTTTTATTTGACGCATAGTCATAAATGTTATCTTCTGTCTTAATTTTGTTTTCTTTGCCTCAGCTTTGTCTGAAACACAGTCTCAGCACCTGCTTTCTAATTTTTCCTGTTTGCCTGCTATATCTTTGAGCCTTTTTAAATACTGTGTTCTTTGTCTTTATTATATACAGTATAGAGTTAGGTTTTGCTTTGTGATTCAGTTTGACAATATTTTTCTTCTAATAGGTACATTATACTAATTCACATTCCGTTATATTCCTGATGTTTCCTTTCAACTCTGTCATATTTTATATTCTAATTACTGAATATTCTATGTTGTATTTACCGTTTATTTCTCTACTTAATGTGTCTTCTTTGTCAAAGATTTTTTAAAAATTATTTTGGTATTTAGAAAAGTCTGTATTTTCTTTCCATGGATGACGTATTTATATCTCATATTGCCTATACTTTTCCATTTTCTTATGTATCTTTTATTTTCTACTCTGTTCATTTTGAACAGTATCCTTCAACTCCTGTTTACCCGACCTAGATGGTAGTCAGTAATCTTATTCTTTCCCCATCTCCTCTACTTTTTCTAGTTGTAGTTTTTCTTGCTTAATCAAAACATATAAAGCCTACCTACTGTTCTTTCTCCTATACCCCCACACTTACTTTAGTCATAGCTCTACAAATAGATACAGTACTCAACATCAATTATTTTATCAAAGTTATCTTTTGCTGGCTTCTAGAAGATTCCTCAGAAGAGGCACATATATATAATATTTCCTGAATTCTTGCAGTTCAAAACTGTTTTTCTATACATTAGATATTTGAAGAGCTGCTTGACTGGGTATAAAATCCTAAGGTTAGAGTTGTTTGTATGGAGTTCCTTGAAAATACTGCATCTTACTTGCCTTGTATGTTGTTCTCAGAAAGATTTGCTCTTAAAGTCATTTTGCTGTGGCTATTTTAGTAGCATGATAATATCTTACTGTGGTGGGAGTTAATTCGTTTCTCAAAATTAAGATGTTATTTAATATTAAGTTTCTTAAGACATAGAAAGGAACTTAATAATAGTGATTAATTTAAAGATAGATACGTAACTAAAATTTGTTTTATTCTTTCGCAGGAATTGAAACCTGATATAGTAACTAAATCTGCTCTTGGTGATGATATCAACTTTGAAAAAATCTGCAAAAAGGTATATCTGCAGTGGATTATATTTGTCTTATGAAGTTTCTCATTTATATTTCTTACTTTGTTCTTGAAGAGAAAACTTACCAAGAAGCCATGCTATTAGTTTGTAATTACTTTTCCTAAATGAACTCCATTACTGCCACCAAAAAAAAATTTTTATGCTAATTTATAAATTTTATTTTGCTGTAATATCATACCTTCGAGGTCCTTAAAGGTATGTTGAACTTAATATGACATTTCATGCATTATATAAAAATTAGTCTGTTGATCATACTACTTAGAACTAAGATTCTTTATTATTTTTCCAAGTATTTTTTATGAATATCTCATTTAATCTGTACATTTGCCCTTTGAAAGATGTTTTTTCACCCTCTTTATACAAATGAGGAAACTGGAACCCAAAAAGAATTAAATGAGGTAATTAAGAACACACCACTCTTAGGTGATATCATCATTATATTTTTCTACATCTTCCGCTCTTTGGATTTTCCACTCCTGCTTCTTCCTTAGTAATTCCCTTTTATAATTTGTACCCACGTTGTTCCACTTGAGAACAGATTTTGTATTGATTGATTTTTCTATATTGTGTTTGTTTTTACTTTCATTGATTTTTGTTCCACTCTATATTCTTTCCATCTTCTTGATTTATGTTTTTTTTTTTCTGGTTTCTTAAAGTGGAAGCTTAAATTACTGGTTTTAGACCTTTTCTAATAAAAGCATTTAATACTATTCATTTATCTGTAAGCAATACTTTAGCTGCATTTCATAAATTTTAATAGGCTGTTTTGTTGTCTTAGTTTAAAATGTTTTAAATTTCCCTTGAACCCTCTTTGACTCATGGTTTAATTTGAAATGTGTTGCCTAATTTCCGAACGGGTTTTCCGGTATCTTTTTGCTATTTTTTGTTTATTTAGTTCTTTTATGATCCGTGAACATACATTTTGTGATTTCTATTCCTTTGAATGTTGTACTTTTGTTATAGTCCAGAGTATAGCATATCTTGGTAAATATTTCATGTGCACTTGAAGACAGCATATATTCTGTTGGGGTATCTGTAAATGTTAAGTCAAATTGGCTGATGGTATTCAAATTATCCATATTTTTGCTGTTTCTTTCTGCCTACTTTGTTAAGAGGTGTGTTGGAACCTCCAACTATGAATATCAGTTTGCCTATTTGATCTTTCAATCTTGTCACTCTTTGCCTTAAGCATTTTGAAACATTTATGTTAGGTATGTAAACTTTTAGGATTTATGCTCTTGGGGCACTGATCCTTTATCATTACGTAATGGCCCTCCTTAACCCCGATAATGTTTATTGTGCTAAAGTCCATCTTGTCCGAAGTTTATATCACTGCTTTAGCTTTCTTTTGGTTAGTGTTTACATTCAGTATCTTTCTCCGTCATTTTACTTTTAAGCTGCATATGTCTGTGTACTTAAGGTGATTTTTTTTTAAATCAATAGCATATGTTTGGATCATGCTTTTTATCCAATCTGATAATCTCTCTTTTAAGCGGTATCTTTAGGCCATTTCTCTTCAATGTGATTATTGATGTGGTTGGATTAAAATCTACCAGTTAGCAGTTGTTTTCTATTTGCTTCATATCTTTTTGCTTTGTTTTTCTTCTTTTTTTGATCTCCTGTTAGTTAATTGAGCATCTTATCTCTTCCGTTGACCTATTTATTACATGTACATTTTTATTATTGTTTTTTAGTGTTCACTCTACAGTTTATAATATACACTTTTAATTAACCAAAATCTGCTTTCACATAATTTTATGCTGCTTTATATGCAGTATAATGATCTAAGAACAGTAAATGCCAATTACTTTATGCCTTCTATTGTGCCATTGTTGTTAAACATTTTACATATGCTATAAGCATATAATAGATTTTCCCATTTTTGCTTTGAACATTTGAACCATTCAGTTTAGAAATAATTAAACATAAGAGTAAATCATTTTTTTACTTTCATTTATTCAGTTTTGATTGCTCTTTATTTCCTTGTTTAAATCCAGGTTTTCTGCTGGTGTATTTGTTTTTCCTGAAGACTCAAAATATCTTGAAGAGTAGGTCTAGTTTCTACAATTTTTTGGCAAGAAAGTTTCTGTTTGTCCTTTATTTTAAAAAATATTTTTACTAAGTATAGAATTCTGTGTTAATAGTTCTTGTCTTTCTGCACTTTGTCATCTAGCTTCTTTAATTTTGTAAATGTCTGCCATAATTCTTGTCTTTGATCCTCTGTATATAATGCCCCACCTCGTCTCACTCCAAACTGAGTATAAGATGTTCAGTCTAACTGGTTCAATGTGAATTTGCTATTTGTCCATCCTTTTTTTTTTTTTTTTGGCTCTTTCTGGTTCTCTAACTCTCCAGATAGGAACCAGAAATTCACAAGTCTCAACATCTGAATTTTAGAAGGAAAGAAACCAGAAATCTAAATTTTGCATTAATTTTTATGATAAATTATAAGACTACCAAATTTTGGGTTGTCTAGAGTGTAACCTTGAGCTGTCTGTTCCCAGAGGATACATTATCATTCTTTCTGCCTTCAGGGGACTTGAATAGAAAAAATTGACATACACTGACTCTGGATGTCATGTTTTTCATCAATAAAATACTTCAGTGAGATCACCATTAAAGGTCCCTCCTCCAAGCTCTTAAGTTTTTCTCTTATTTTAAACCTCCATAAAGTTTTGCTTTTGTGAATCACTATTCTCAAAAAGTGATGGGATAATTCAAATGTAATAAATCAGAGCATACTTTATAATATACTATGATAATTATATAAAAGTTTCTAATCATAACTACTTGAGTAAAATGAATAAAAGTTTGTGTAATGTTAAGATCTCTCAAACTGTTGGAAATTTTGCTATAACAGGTTGGTATCTAAATACTCATTCAGTGGATGTTTATGTGCAAATCAGCATGCTAGATGATTTAGGGCCATGATTTCAAAACTTTTATTTCTCTCAGAACCTTTTGTTAAAAATTTTACCCCACACTAAGTGTTGTATATTAAATACATGAAAACAGCTGCTGTAGGGATTGGGGCTGGCAGTTAAGAAGCCAAGTCATCCTTTGGTATCTTAAAAACATTGCTAAGGACACTACAAGAAAAGATAAGAGATAATCTTAACCACAGAGTTTATTTCTAAAGGAGAGTTTATACTTGTAACTAACTATAAGATGTGTGTAAGAAAAAGATTTGAAAATACTCATTGTTATATTACAGATTGATTTGTCTTTAAATTTGAATTATTTATTAAATACAACATATATTCAGTGCTATAGTTTTCACTAAAGTGTGTTAGATACAATCACATTTAATTTTTAATATTTGCAACTCTAGTGGAGGAGTTTTGATCGGGAGAGAATTACAACCCCATTGTATAAAGTAGAAACTAGAGCTCATGGAGATTAGTTTGTCCAGATCAGTACAATCAGCTAGTTAACTGAACAAGAACGTAAATCTGTGTCTTCTGAAGGTTTCATTAACATAACAAGCTTTTGATCTGGATTTCATTCTAATTCATTCTTCTGTATAATCTGATGTTTCATCATTAATTATGACAAATACTGGATTTTCCTATGTTTACTTTTCTTCAGGATTGCTGTGGAATCCATGTAATGGGCTTACTCTTTGAATTTTTAAATATAGTACAACTTCAGAAACTAAATTCTTACCAAAGACTTTTGTTTGAGGTCCTGATTAGATTTAGATTTAGCATTATGTATTGTGAAAGGATATTTGGAACAGATACTGCATAGTTTTTACTTTTCTTCCTCTCCATCATACCTAAGGAAGAATCATCAATCCACTGGCATCATTAATAGTTCATGGCAGTAATTATTAATAGTACTCATAGAGATGTAAGAAATTGTTGAATATTAGAGTCTCAAAGTGTTGAGAATATTTTTCAGGGAAAATCCAAAGATTAAAAAGTTATTTGAACTGTATGATGTTAAGGTTTTTTCCCAGCCTTAAGAAAAAAAGCACTGATGCTACATTTATGTAGCATCATTTCTCTACAATTAATTGATATTAGTCATTTTAAATTTTAAGGCATTTTATGGCAAGAAAAGCTGTCCTTGTCAGAAAAGCAACACAAAAGTTATGAGTGCAATTTTGCAGTATTTTTATTCCGTGTAATTCATTCATAAAGAGAAGAAAGGCTTAGCATGGCGGCTCAGCCTGTAGTCCCAGTGCTTTGCTCCCAAAGGAGGCCAAAACAGGTGGATCACTTAAGCCCAGGAGTTCAGGACTAGCCTGGGCAACTTGGTGAAACCCCATCTCTACAAAAAAAAATCCAAAAAATAAGCTGGGCGTGGTGACACACAACTGTAGTCTTAACTACTCAGGAGGCTACATTGGGAGAATCACATGAGCCTGGGAGGTCGAGGCTGTAGTGAGCTGTGGTCATGCCACTGTACTCCAGCATGGGTGAAAGAGTGAGACTGTGTCTCAGAAAAAAAAAAAAAAAAAAAAAGAGAAGAAAAATGTTAACCCTAAAATGGTTTTAAATTTGTGCTCAGGTCTTACTGAGACAAAATAATGACATGTTGAACAGAACAGTGCTAATTAAATAAAAATATGGCACAATATATTTGTTTTTAATTTTGTTGAGATGTCAAAATATATAATAATTGTTTTTTTGCCATATATGTCTTTAGCATACCGATTTCCTTTCCTTTGGATATATACTCATACCCAGTAATGGGATTGCTGAATCTTATGGTAGTTCTATTTTTTATTTTGTTTTAGAACCTCCATACTGTTCCTCATAATGGTGGTATTAATTTACATTGCCATCCAACAATGTACAAGGGTTCCCTTTTCTCCACATTCTCTCCATCACTTGTTATCTTCAGGCTTTTTTGTAATGGCCATTCTTATGGGTTAGAGGTGATATCTCATTATGGTTTTAATTTTCATTTCCTTAATGATTAGTGATATTGAACATTTTTTATGTATCTATTGGCCATTTGAATGTGTCCTTTTGGGA